TTTTCTCTTCACAAGTCCTTTCTCTCAGGATTTGCCACAGTAACAAAAAGCTGACTGATACACCAGCCAGCAGTTCAGACCCAGATAAGGTGACAACACACTGTGGGCAGCAATTACGGACAAAAATATGCTTCTATCTGTATCCCATACCATACACTAGCTGGAAAGTAGAACAATAGAGCTTTAAAGGTGAACATCTTCCCTATCTGGGAGCAGGAAAAGACTTGTTAAATAGAGCCCAGGACCCCTAAAAAAAAAAAAAAACACCAGCAATTTATGTTAAGGTGAAAGTCTACTGTTGATCCAAAAACACTATCGAAGGAGCAAAAATGTAATACCTATACAGGCCAACATCCAAAATACTTATCTGACAAAGGATTCACAGCCAGAATGTATTTTAAACATTTCTACTTATCACTAAAAAACCCCAACATAAATGGAAAAAAATGAACAAGAAATGTACATTTTGCAAAAGAGGAAATCCGAATAAATATGTAAGAAATTATTCAATCTCACTAATGATCAGAGAGATGCAAATTCAAGGCATATACTTTCCAGAAGGGCTAAAATGCAAAGGAAAGAAAATACCAAGTGCCAGTGTTGGTGTGAGCTCTCATATCTTGTGGGCAGAAGTGCAATCTAGAACACATTTTGGAAGTATACACTAAAGCTAAACCTATGCACACATATGTGTACCTCCTTTATTTTTTATGTTGTTCTACATCTTATTTACTTTCTCATCACTGAGACACAATACTCTCCACCCATAACTCTAAGGAGGAAAGGTTTATTTTAGCTCATAGTTTGAAGATATTTTAGTTGATAGTCAACTAGCTCCATGGCAAAGTAACACAGCAGAAGAGAAACAGCTCATAGCATGGGACTGATCAAGGCAGGAAAGGAGATAGACACTACCAGGCCATGTTCCCTAGTTACCCAACTCCTACAACTAGGTTTCACCTCCCAACATTACAGTTACCCATAATCTCATCAGTGAATCAATCCACTGATAAGCACCACAACCCCATGATCCAGTTCTCTCCCAAAAGCCCCACTTTTGAGTGCATGAGGCTTTGGGAGCACATTTAGACAGAAACCATAACACTGTATCACTGAGCTGCATCCTCAGCCCTACACATGTGTAATATTCAACATTTTCATAGTTGATGTATTCTAACAGAAATGCAAGAGATGCATCCACAGAAGAATAAATCATAATCATAAAACTGGACACCACTCAAATTCACAAGTCCAGATGAATGGACAAATAAGCCATGCTACAGTCACACAAGGGATTTTACACACTGTGAGAACAGTGGTCTGGAACTTCACAGGTAAAAGGAGCAGGAAAAACAGTCACAAAAGAGCCCACTCTGTACTGTCCACAGTATCAACTTGTAAGACTCACTCTATTAAAGCTCAGGACAGTGGCTGCCCCAGGGACAGAATGGTGTAGGGGCTCCAGGAAGCTGGCAGAGTCCCATTCTTTCTTTAGGTGTTGGTTATGTGATATATTAGCTTTGTGGAGGCTCACTGAGGTATGCAATCACAATGTATGTACTTTTCTGTATACAAATCACACTTCAACAAAAACGTTAAGAAAGAAGAGAAAAAAACACAAAAGACTTCACCTAAAGAAAAACAACCCAAGGAACAGAAGAAAGTCCACTCTAATTGATTAACAGTAGAACAAATTAATACAAATATTATATTGATAAAATGCAAGTGCAAAAAAGAGATTTTTAAATGAGACCTTAGAATTTTTTAACTGAACTGAAATTGAAAAAAGGAAAATTGAAAAACTAAGTGAAAATTAGAGATGAAAACATCATAACTGAATAGCTAAATTAGAAACAGCTGAAAACAGTTTACTATAATCAAAAACTCCCAACAATGGGAAAGACAAGATAATCACAGAAATTCAGAAGAGAAAGACAAACACGAGTAGAGCAACCAGAGAAAAAAATGAATAGATGTGGAAGACAGAGATGGTCCAACATAAGGATAATCAATATGGCAGGCAGGATAATGCACTCCTTGAAGATGCTACATCCTCGTCTCCAGAACTTGTGATTATATGAGGTTCCCATGGCACAGGAGATGGGAAATGGGATTCAAGGTTACGTTGAAATTAAATTGCTCATTGAGTGGCCTTAAGAGAGGGACACTGCCCTGCACAGTTTAGGTGGCCACAATATAGCCCCAGGGCCCTTCAAAAGTGGAAGGAGGAGGCAGCAGAGACAAAGTCAAAGCTATAGCACCTGACATCTTTGGCTCTCAAGATGAAAATGGGTGAAAACCAAGGAATGCAGGGCATGAAGGTAGGATTTAGAAGCTAGGAAAGGCCAGGAAGTCTCCTAGAGCCCCAGCAAGGAGCACAGCCCTCCCCGTACTCACAAAGACAGGAAACCTGTTGTTTTTAAGTCACTAAGATCATGGTAATTTGTCATGGCAGCAACTAGAAAACTGACCGCAAATGTAAAAGAAGGTATTTTAAGGACATAAAATGAATTCTTATGGAATTAGAAAAATAGATGTATGTAGGAATTCAGAGTACAGAGTGTACTAGAAGCTTAACATAAAGCATTTGATCTGAAGCAGGTCTTGTTAAACTAAGGAAATACGATGCCCCACCCCCAAAACTACAGAAATTCATGAAGGAAAAGATAAATCAGCCATATAGGAAAAGAAATCAGCTGGCTTGATGCTTTGCCATGGCAACATTTAAAGCCAGAGTGGAAGAACAATACTCACCAGGTTCTGAGGGAAGAAAACACACCCTACAGTATTGTTCAGAGATACAGACAATGGGCAGATGTTCTCTGACTTGAGGAACGGAAAGCTCTGAATCCTTCCTGCAGATATAGCTGGCAACAAAAACTGGCTAATTAAGAGAGACAGTAAAATAAAGAACTGGAGAGCAGCCTTGGCAAGAGGACTTCAGCAGGCACGGATTCCATTGAAATGTTGTGTTAATACTAAGCAATCATGAGCATTACAGCTGCAGTACAGAAGTGAGTGTTAGAAACCCCAGCAGTGTAAAACACTGCAGCGTGGGCTGCAGAACCAGGCACTGGGTGCAGGGCAGGGGGATTGTGAAGCTGCAGATTCGCCCTGCAACACCAGAGTACCCAGGTGTTCTCACAGTGAAACCTGTCATTCTGTTAGACAGATAATGGTTCCAGCTCCTTTCTGCTTCTCATGCAAGCCCTTGACAAAAAACTTGGTAAGTCAAAAGCCCACAGGGGCACGTTCACAACCAGTTCTTATCTTCTATGTCTCAGGCCATGCTGTCCATAGAACACCTTGTGCAACATGTCTTTTTAATTTATATCCTCTCTCTGGGTGGAGGTGAGACTTCAGGAAGAGGCAGGAACTAGGTGATTTTAGGAGTCCTCAGTTTGGCCTGTGACCCAAAGAAAGCATGGCAGCAAAAATGCACCAGGCCCTGTTCCCCCCACCAGAATGACATCAGCTTCACTGTCCATGTCTCTCCTCACTTAGCCCACATCACTGAACTCCGACAGGTCTTGAGCATCTGACAGTCTGTTACCCCAAGTACACTGTGCCCTTTCTCAGCTAGTATTTGCCCAGCAATTTATTTCTCAACCTCTTCTGTAACTTCACCTTCACTAAGTACCAGGCTCTGAGGACACAGCTGTGGACACAGCCCCTGCTTTCAGGGCAGTGCTGTCCAGCAGAACTTTGCCAGGATGGGAGAGTCTATGATTGTATTGTCCAGGACAGCAGCCACTGGGCACCTGACATGAATTAAACAGCCACAGGAGTCTGAAGGCAGCACCGAACCACACAGTGTCAGTCTCCCTGGCTCATGTGAGTGCTAGACCAGCAGCATGGGCATAGCTGGAGGTGCAGGATCTTCAGCCCACCGAGCCTCACAGAAGCAGAATTTGCATTTCCCCAAGGCTCCAAGTGGCTTTGCAGTGGCAGCTTGAGGACCAGCTGTTCCCCTGCCACGTCCCCAACCTAGAGGACGCTGTTACCAGACCTCTGTCGTAGGACACCCTTGCTCCACCATTTCTGTCCAGTAGGTCCTCTGCAGACCAGCTTTTCTCTTTCCATCACCTCTTTGGCCCCAAATAGTCCGCCTATAGTCCTACTGCTGTGACCTTTGGCTTTGCAGGGTACGCTGCACCTTCCATTGAGCAGAAGTAAATCCTCTTCCCTTCTCACAACAAGTTCACCTACTCCTCCAGTCCATCATAACCCCTCCATGGGCCAGGCCACGCCCAGACTGCTTCCCCACTATTGCAACTGGGAGGGAAAATAGGCAGCAGGACTCAGACAGGGACTATGCTGGGGAGGTGACTAGACCCTTATATGTCCCTAAAAAGTGGACACACCATCTTGCCACAGTCATAGCTTCTGTTTGCCTCAGAGAATGAGACCTCCCTGACTTGTCTTTATTCAAGAGTATCAGCTCTCAAACTCAACCTTTGGGGACACCCTGCCCAATACCTTTGAGCCTGGAGCACTTTGGTCTCACCTTCCTAGAACCCAGTCCCATGCCTTTGCCTGGAGTCCTTCCCTACCCTGGCCAGACTCTACAGGGCCACGTGGGCATCTCTCCTGGAAGCCTGTCCATTTGGGCCCGGAGCTCTCAGTGGGGCGCTGGTCTTCTAGCCTCTGCCACCCCTTGCACACTGCCCACACAGCTGTCCTTCTACTGCACCCCGATCCTCCCCGAAAGGGTCACCCCAGCATCCCTTGCCCAGATCCGCGCTGCTGCGACCCCACGCTAGTAGTCACCACCAAGAGGGGAAGATCTAGTCCCCGCCCAGCCGCTGCTCCACCAGCGCGCAGGCCGCGACGACAAGAGAGAGAATGCGCCCCCGGCCTGCGGATCCACGCGGGAGAGACCACCAGCGCTCTGGCCCCTGCGCCAAGTCCTCTCCAAGTCCGCGCTCCGGCCCGCGCCCCTGACCCGACCCAGTCCCGACTCCTCCGGCCCCAGTGCCGGCCCTAGCCCCAACTCTCACCTGCCGGGTGGCCATACGGGGACTCGGCCGCTCCGTCTTGCAGGCTTGCTAGGATCTCACCCTTGCCCACGTCGCTGTCACCCACCAGCAGAAATTTGAGCAGAAAGTCATAGGCTCGCACGGGGCTGCCCAAGGCACTCATCGTGCTGGCCAGGCGCACCAGCCCATGCCGGCCCCGCTGGCTGCGTGCATACAGGCTGCTAGCCCAGTGCACCGCTGGACCCCAGTCCACCACCCAGGCCAAGGCGCCTGTCAGCCTCAGAGCGCTCCGCCCTCTCGCCTCGCCATTGGAGGGCCGTAGTTGCTGAGGTGAAAGCGTACTCTCATTGGCTGAGATACTTATCAATCTTGCTTTTATCACCGCCCCCGGGCCTACGCCTTCAAGTTCCTTCTGAGAGCACTACAACCAATGGAGACTCGTAGAAGGAGAAGAGGTGGAGCTATAAACGGAGGGGGCGTGGTCTTTTTCCTCAACCAATAGTGGGAGGGGCGGGGAGCTCCGGATGAAACCAGGTGTTTACATTTCGGCTTGAGTCAGCTGTCTCCACTCACAGGTTTAGGACGTGGAGCAGAGATGGCGCAAGGCGGCACTAACTTTCAAGAGGCTTCATTGCTGGGCCGCAGGGCACGGAGATGCCTGATTAGTCCGCAGACGCGCGGCCTTTAAGTCCCTACAGATCACCGGGATTTGTGGCGCTGTGGACCTACGCGTGCACGTGCCTCTGAGCGCGTGCGCTTGTGTGCATCTGCTCCTTGCGTGTCCGCGCGTGCGTGTCTGGGTGCCTGTAGGTGTCTGCCCTCTCGTGTCTGTGCGCGTGATGGAAGAGCGGGCAGGCTGAGACCCGCGAACTAGTAGTGATCTGCGCCGGGCGTCACTTACCCGGCTGTCCCCGGCATGCGCAAGATGCACTCTGGATGCCTTCTTAACCCCTGAAGTCAAGATTTTATGTCTGCTATTTGCACTCATTTGGACCTAAGAAAGTGTTTATTATGAAAGGCTGCTTTGGCTTACAACACCTGTTTATTGACTGATCTTTTAAGTGCTGGTATGGTCACTATTTAAAAAAAAAAATCAAGAAATTAGCGCTGAGAAGCAGAGGCAGGAAAATCTTAAATTTGAGTCCTGCCTAGGTAATTTAGCGATTTAGCGAGATCCTGTCTCCTGTAAAGGGGAGGGAATGTAGGTCGGTTCAAAAACGCTGGGTTTAATCTCTAATATTTGGGTTGAGGGAGGGGGAATTACAAAAGTAGACAGAGGTGAAATTTTGGTCCTATCCTAATCCCTTCCGAACTGAAACTGCTCGGGGACATTTCTCTTACCATCTCTAACCCGTGGTCCCAATGTCCCAGTCTGCTGGAACACTTTACATGTACTTAAGGCAGGATACTACCTTCGGCTTGGGCCCTGCTCTGTAGGGATCAGGTAGAGTAGGGATCGGGAAACCTTCGGCCCACCTTCAGATCTGTCCCTGCCAGGCAGTTCTTAGCTGTGGGGTAGAGAGGAATGCCAGACCACTTTCTGAGAGCAAGGGTTGTGGACACCTGACTGCTTTTCTCCCCCACCCCAACTCATGGCATTCAGCTTCAAGCTGATCTTGGCACAGCTAGAATGTGACAACTGCCACCTTGAGAGAAAGGTAGAAATATAGTTCCAGGGATTGGTTCAAGGCCACCCTCCCCCTCTCCCATACCAAAATTCATGGATGATCAAACCCCTTATATTTAATAGCACAGTCTTTGCATAGATCCTGTGTACACCTTCCCAGTTACTTTAAATCATTGCTAATTGCCTGTAATACAGAATACAGTGTGGATACTATGTGTATAGTTGTTATACTCTGGGTACTAATGGAAAGAGAAAAGTCCACATATTCAGAAGAGTCACAACTTTTTGCTAAATATTTTTGATCTATGAACAGTAGAATCCACAGATACAGAGGAATGGCTAAAAGATCAGAAAAGTACAATATCTAGTATGGATAAAGGTCCACCAAACAGTTCTCACCAAATACATGTTTATTTCACAAGTCAGTGGATAAAGGACTCACACTCCAGGACCCCAGCTACCTAAAGATGTTTTTGTCCTCCTTGATTTCAATATTTGTGTGAATTCCAGGTAGCAAGGGGAGGAATGGACTCCATCAGCCCACCTCCTGCCTCAGCCAAGGCCAGGCTCCAGTCTTGTCCACCTCTAGTCTCTGGAAAATCCCTCTCTGACCAGGATGGCGTGCCTCCCTGTATGTTAGCCAATCACAGCAGCCTGCCACTGCTGAGGAAGAAGAGAGGTGTGACAGAGGCCTTGGTTGATGCTTCTCCATAGACAAAATATCAGAAGCTGTAGGTGACATGGACACTTTGAAGGAGAGGGAGGCTTGAGGGTCACCTGGATCTTTGCTGGTTTTTGACTGTCAGTCATGTTTCTTGACACCAGTCTCCTCGGGACTTCCAAAATCCTAAAGGATTTATCAAAAGAAAACTGTAGTTGATTTTTGTTAGGTTGGGACCAGGCCTCCAACTGTTTTTAGGGAAATGGTCTTTTAGAGGCCAGGAATTTCCCACCCCTCAACAACAACAACAACAACAACAACAACAAAAAAAAAACTAGGAAAAGTTCTTTTCTTCGCACATTTGAAATCCCTTCCTCATAGAAAGGACCATCCCTTTGCTGGTGCTACCATGCACCCAGAAGAAAGGACATGATGGTATGTCATTTCCAATTTATTGACTACTTCAAGCTCTTGCTATATTTTGTTTTATATTTGTATTGCTGTATTTTAAAATGATGAGCATATTGGGGCTGGGATTTAGCTCAGTGGCATAAGCACCTGCCTTGCAAGCAGGCAGTCGTGAGTTCGATCCCTGATACTGATAAAAATGAAAAAGACAAAAAAAATGATGAGCATATGTATCTAAATGCTGAAGTACTGTAATTCTATTCAACTTTGTTTGAAATCATGAAAAACTCAAAGGTTTGACATGCATTAAATGAATAAGGTCCTGTGGCCTTGAAGCCTTATAAAGTTTTCACTTATTAATTGGAAAGGCTTTATTCTGGGATTCTTGATATGGAAATACTTGAAGCTATAGTATATGAAGTTTTATTCAAATATTTCAAGGAAAAAGACAGACACTATGGTAACTACTATTAAGTTGGGTTATTTGGTGGTGAACCACTAGGTTGCTGAAACAGTCATGCTTTGACCTGTATTGTTATATTGTTATGTCCTGTTTTATCTCAATCTCTCCCTTATTCATTAAAAAATTATTTAGTTTTTTTTTATGTTTTTTTTAATTAAGGAAAAAAAATTTAAAAAATTAGCAGGGTATATAATAGTAACTTTTTTGATTTCCTATTAACTTGTTTTGAAGTCCTGTAATACTCCCCCTATCTTGTTTTGACTGATTAGACTCTGTTCCATTCTGTATGATAGTATCAAGTTTGAGGGTATAGGCAACTACTTTGAAGGCAATAAGATTCACTAAGATGCCCATTCTGGTTTGACTATTGTCTCCTTTGAAAGTCCTGTAATGTTTACAATGCTTAAGTTTTATTGGTCTTGTTCTCTACTGTTTTATTCAACTTTATAATATCTAATGAGATAGACAATTCTTTTTAAGGAAACAAGAGACATTGTTGATAACCATTGTTGATAACCTTGTACTCTGTTTTACATCATGTGCTATGTCTATCCTTGGTTTGACTGACAGCTTTGTTTTGCCATATTTGACTTTATTCTCTCCCCCCCAAAAAAGTGATAAGAACTAAAGAGTAATAAAGCTCAAAATGTGTAAATTGTGTTGTAAAAAAGAGAGGGGGAAAAAAAGAGTTCTAAATGACACAACAGCAAGAGTGTTTAGGGGTGTTAAATAGCTGACCATATTAATGTTTTTGGTTGGATCATTGAACACAACTGTTTGCAGTCTCACTGTTTGAGTGTCCACTTTGTATGCTTTGATACTGTGATTTGAGCAACTATCTCTAAGATGATAATATGTAATCTATTAACCAGTGATTTCTTACTGTTTTTTTTTGTAGTTCTGTATTACTTGTACCCTTACACTGCTTTGTTTTGTTTTGTTTTTTCTCTTTTTCCTTTTAAATAAAATTTTTAAAAAATGAATAAGGTCCTGAAGAAGAGATGTTAAAATCCTAACCCATGGTACTTGTGAATGTGATCCTATTGGAAACAGAATCTTTGCAGGTACAACCAAGCCAAGGATGGGCTCTGATCTAATATGACCCTGAGTGGGTCTTAGAGACTTATGGAGCCCAGGGACCACAGTTCAAAATGCCTGTCCAAGCTACCCTTGTGTTTCTGCCTGCGCCCTGGCTGTGGCCTGGTAGGTATGACCCACCAAGATGGGGGGGGGGGCATAAGGGGGTGGGGACTGTGCAAAAAGAGAGCCCAGGTGTCCAAACCCCTGGTATTTTCTGGTCATTGTGGCCCACAACCAGCCCCTGTCATATGACACACAGTGCTTCCCCTCACTATAGACACCTACATGTGGAATTTCTGTCTTTATGTTGGAAATTTACATATCATTTAGGTTAGTGTTCGTTCAGGGTATGGGAGTATTTTTCTCTGAAATGTTAAATGTTAATATGCTTTTCATTTTTGAAATTAGTCAAGACTGTTATAATTAGCAGAGACATAACTGACTAGCTTCAGCAAGAGGTCAATATTTCAGAAAGGTGGCTGGAGTCTGGGAATCAGAAAAGGGTCAACTGATGGGCAGAGGGAAGGAACAGATGTGGGTTAGGGTTAGTGTGTCTGACTGCTTCATTATTACTTGTCTTAGTTACTTTTCTCATTGCTGAGACAAAATACTTATCATTCATTGTTAAAGAACGAAAGGTTTATTATTCTTGGTACCAAAAAAAAGAAAAGAGAAGGGGCTGGGGGTTTAGCTCAGCGGCATAAGCGCCTGCCTGGCAAGCAGGCAGTCGTGAGTTCGATCCCTGGTACCGATAAAAAGGAAAAAGACAAAAAAAAAAAAAAGAATAGAAAAGAGAAGAAGACGAAGAAGAAGAGGAAGAGGAGGAGAGAAGGAGGAGGGAGAGGAAGAGGAGAAAGAGGAAGTTTATTTAGCTCACAGTTTGTGGTTTCAGTTCATACTTAGCTGGCTCCAAGGCAGGGTGGTGTGGCAAAGAGGTAATAGTTCAAGGCATGAAAAAATACAAAAGCCCAAAAGGAGGACCACGAGATGACTCTTTCTGTCCCTTTTATTGTATGTATGCTACCCACCCTAGGTGGGTGAAGCATGCACACCCGTAATCCCAGAGCTAGACAATGAATCAGTCACAAACTCTAGATCCGGCTGCCTCTGAAAAGCACTCCCCCATGACTGCGTGAGACTTTGGGGGCACATCCAGACACAAACCATAACATCACTGCAAACACTGGTTCCCTTCTGGGGGAGAAAGCACAGGTTCTGATTTTGCCTCTGGAGATACCATGTCTGAGCCCAAAATTCCCAGAAAGGAATCACTGCCCTGGTGGGAATCCATGCTGACCTCTGGGCCAGTTAGCTGTCTCCAACTAGCAATCAGGGTGAAGGGCCATGTCCCTCTGGGAGCCCCTGTATTCTCTGAGGACATGTGCACAAAGTCCCTACTTAAAGATACATTTAGTGCCAGGCAGGCCAGGCCCAGGTGGAGGATATCCTAGACTAGACAAGACTAGCTGAACCTGGCAGGGGTTATTGGCAAGTGTTCCTTTCTGCTCTCCCTGGGGTTTTGGGGGCTGCACCATCTCTATATCTTTCCCTCATCTGATGCCCCCGCCCATTGCAGTCCATCCTGCCATGACTTCCTCTCTATCTGACTCCTCAGCCTGTCCAGCCTCCTCTCCTGCTCTGCCTCATCTGCCTGTCTCAGATGCCTTGTCTGGGGCACCAGATCCCATGTTTCCTGAGCACTGTGCCTTTTTGCAGCCCTCTGCTTCACATGCCCTTGGTCTTTCCTACCAGCTCAGTCTGTGGGGTCCTCAGAAGCCCATGGGGTGTCACCTCCCCTGGAACACCCTGCTGACTCACAATGGGCCACCCAGTCAGTCATCTCCAGGCACAAGGCTGGCTATCCATACACCTTGCTGGATGTTTCCCAGTTCCTATCCAAGAACACCTGGTTCTCCTGGGGGAGGGGTGAACATTAACTCTGTGTAACCCAAAATGTTTGAGGTTAACTTTCAGGAAATAGAAGCACATCATCTTGTTTTCTGCCAGGTACAGCTTTCCCTGTTCTGTGGATTTAGAAACCTATATCTGACTTCTCAGTCTTGTCCACATTCCTGCACCATACACTGCACAAATTTGGCATTTTCAAAGGTTTTTCTAACCATTTCTTTCCTTTACTGGGCTTCTCTTTAGTGAACTGAAGGAAGCCAAAGAAGTACTCACCTCCAATTTATGTGAAAATGAGATGCTAAGGATCCATGTGTCCCTGAAGAGGAATGCTGTGGAAGAGGGCAGGCACAGCTAACACCCCACCTCTACATGTGATGGCCTCAGCAGCCCCATCTCTGACTAGCCTATAATGCCATAAAAGTTATACACCTTTGTATATACCTTTTGTTTGGATCAAAAAGTTATACTCCTTTTGTTTGGATCAACCTGGGCTTCTGCTACCTGTGACTTTCCCCCTTGTGCTCAGCATAAGAATAAAAGCCTTGGGGCTGGGGATTTAGCTCAGCGGCATAAGCACCTGCCTTGCAAGCAGGCAGTCGTGAGTTTGATCCCTGGTACCAATAAAAACGAAAAAGACAAAAAAAAAAAAAAAAAGAATAAAAGCCTTGATAATGAGTGGGCTGCATTGAAGGTGCCCAGCCCCTGTGTTCCTTTCCTTTCCTAGAGTCATGTGAAGTCACTAGCTCCCTTGGCTCCCTGGGGAAGACCAGACCAAACCTCTGCTCTGGACACCAGTCACTGTGAGAAATACTGGCATGGAAGAAATGCCAGGCATGTGTTCTTCACAACAAGAAAGATGCTGTTTATTGGAAGACACCTTCTTATCCTATGCTAAGCCCATTCCTGTTTCTTCAATTGAGTTGAAAATAACCCTCCTTGCTTCCAAGACTGGAATATGTTTCCACTCAGAGTATATAACTTAGTCCAGAGCAGCTTCTCTCACCTTGGGCTTTAGAGAGCGTGCAATCAAACCTTTGTATTCCATGCAATTTCCACCAGACACAAGATGGGGTTTTTTTGTGTGCATGGAAAATACATTTTAAGTATGACAGAATTGAAGATATTGCTTACAAAATTAATTGGACACTAAATTTTAGAAATAGTGAGAAAGGCATCTCTAGTTTTACAAGTGAATTCCCATTTATTATATTCTGGACCATAGGACAGTTGCAAAAAAGAAAATAAAAGAGTTAAAAGTAGAGTTTTTTTTTTTTTATGTGTGGCTCTGGGGATCTGTCTTAATTTTTCTATCACTGGGACTTAGTATCCAACAAGAGGAAAGTTTTCATTTTGCTCACAGTTTTGAGGCGTTCAGCCCATGGTTGACTGGCCCCAAGGCAGAGAAATCATGGCAGGCAGTTGTGGCTGAGTAAGGATGATCAGTTTAAGGTATCCAAGAAGCGGAGCAAAGGATTAGTGCCAGAGACAAATGGATGAAGGACCAGCTGTATTCCCAAGATCACACTTCATGACCCACGTAGACATACCCAGAAATCTGTCTCACCAATCCCCTGTGAAGTTCCCAAGCTAGAAATCTGACATAATCAAATTTTGGTTTTGTTTTACCGGTACCAGGGATTGAACTCACGACCATATGCTTGCAAGGCAGGTGCTTATGCTGCTGAGCTAAATCCCCAGCCCCAAAGATTTTTTTTTTTATCAGTACCGGGGATCGAACTCACGACCACGCGCTTGCAAGGCAGGCGCTTATGCTGCTGAGCTAAGTCCCCAGCCCAACACAATCAAGTTTAACTGCCACAGGTTCAAACCCAGATTCTCATGCTTGCTAGGTAAATACGCTGCTGCTGTGTGATATCCTTAGCCAAAAAGGAATTTTTAAAGATCCTCAATTTTCATGAAAATACCTATGCTCTGTTTAGTATCATCCCATTTTCCTTCTGTATCAAGTATCCCCACAGCATCAAAACATTGCATTTGGAAACCGTGATGTACATCAGCTATTTCTATTCTAGCTGCCACTGCATGCTGCTCATCAGTCCTGCTGGAGAATGACCTGGTGGGTAAAGGTCAAGCCCAAGGAGACAAGGACCCTGGGTCGCTTCATGTTTCAGGACTCACATTCACCTGGTTGGCACTCACTGTGAGATGCCTGTGTTTTCAAGACCAGAGACATCAGTGGACACCTCTGGGACCTCAAGGACAAGGACTGGATATATTGGATTTCCCTCACTGGAGGACCAGAAGTGTCCCATCAGGCCAGGAGGCTTCCCACCTCACCCTTTCCCTATCCTGTCTCCCCAGATGCTGTTGCCCACTTCCATACTTCTCTCTCTCTCTCTCTCTCTCTCTCTCTCTCTCTCTCTCTCTCTCTCCTCTCTCTCTTCTCTTTTCTCTCTTTCTTTGTGTATCAAGTGATTGCCTCTTCATGTGGGAGTTTCACAACATTTCACTGAGAGAGAAGGGAGATTTCTGTCATGTCATTTTTTTCTAAAATGACCAGACTCCATCAAGACTTAGAAGGCCAGGCCCTTAGAGCAGAGAACATACTTCACAAACACAGATGTTCCGGAAGGCACACGGCTTCCTCAGGAGCCAGGAAGTATGTTTGCAACCTTGTGTTGGGCCAGCAAGGGCTTCCAATTGAAGAGTAGAGCCAGGGTAACCACAGCCTTGAGATCTTTGCCCATGGTGAGTGGAAGAACTTCCCACAGCCCCCTCTCTGCATTTCAAACCTTGTCTCTGACACACTTCTGGGACTGAGCCCCTAAGACTTACCCTCCCATGGATGACACAGCCATACTGGCTGTGCCTGAAGCCAGCACATGCCAGGAGGAAACTCCTGATTCCTAGAAGTGAATGAGAACCCAGAAGCGTCTCCACAAAATCTAGGTCCCTCCTGAGAGCCAGATGCCCTCTGTCCAGGTTTCCCTCCGCCAACTGTGGTGACATATGAGTTCTGTACACTTCACTGTGACGTAGGAACATAAAGCCTTGCAGGGGCCACTCCTCATGCTGAAAGGGCCAGTCAGGCAGCTTGCCAGCCATCCCCAAATAGCACAGGCTTGGGCTTCTAAGTGACAGGCAGTTATTTTTCACATGCTCCTGGAGGCTGGAAGTCCAAGTTGAAAGTGGATTTTGTTTCTGGCAAGGCCCCTCCTCCTGATTTGCAGATGACACCTTCCCCTTCTGTCTTCATGAGGATTTGCTTCCTTCCTCTTCTCGTGAGGCCACTAATTGTCACTATACAGTTCGAGCTTCAACGTATTAATTTTTGGTGGACACAAAATTCAGTCCCTAACAGGTTGATGGTGGTAACAGGCCATAATCCCCACCAACAGGATTAAATTATGGGGTACAGAACTCAGCCCACTTCAAAATCTGAGCTGTCCCCACAGCCAGGCTTTTCCAGGTGTGCTTGAGTAGTCTTTGGGACCAGACAGTAGGATCTGAGGCCAGCTCTGCTTACAATAGGGGGAGCTGATTCCTAATTCAGGGGCTGTCCCTCTTACAGGCTGAGCAGCCATCGTACTTTAGAGGCCAGAAGATCTCCTCCCCCTACTGGTAGTAACCGAGAATGTCTCCAGAACTGTCAAATGTCTTTGGTCAAGGGAGAAACTGAACACGACACATTGGGGTATATCTGCGGCTCAGCATTGTGAGAATTCTTCTTTTTCAAGGCTATTAGCCTACTCTGTGAACCCATTTTGTTTGCCCACTCACCCAACAGCAGACTCTTTTGGGTACAGTAGACAGGGTTGCTGTGAGTTTTGCATGCAAATTTCTGTGTGGCAGTATATTTTCATTTCTCTTGGATGGACGCAAGGAGTGAAATTCTGGATCACACGACAACTCTGCTTTTAGTTCTCGGAGCGTGGGCCAGCCACGGGTTGTTTCTGAAAGTGGAACACGTTCTGTACTTTGTATGGCAGCTGACGCTGAGTGTCATTCCTCGGCCTCGGGTTTACAGCACACTACTGCAGAAGCTTGAGGAGAGATTCTAGGCCATATACAGAGAATTTCTTTCATGACATGGACTTTTATTTTTATCCTTAATGACGTTTTAAAAGCCCTTCTTTCTTATGTTTCTTTCTTGGTGCCCAAATAAAAATAGACGGGGGAACAGTAAACAGGAGCTGACTATACGTCCCACAAAGTCACTGGCACACATCAATTAACTCTGCTTTTTTTTCTCCTCTCTGGTGTCAAGAAGTAAATAGAAACAACAGCTGAGGACAGTTTGGGAGATGTTTGCTGATGATTCACCAAAAATCATAGCCAGGCTGCCAGTTGCTCTTCTGCTATAGAAAGAAAACCTATTTTAAGCAAAACTGTAACCTCATGATCTCCCAGAAGTACCAGAGCCAGGCACATAACATCCAGCTGCGTGTGCTGTTCGCATCAGAGCCCTGTCTGCGTCCCTTTCTGCGACGGCCCTGCCCACCGCGCGACACAGCCACACCCATCTACATAGCCCCGCCCGCCCCACATACCCACACCCATCTTCATAGCCCCGCCCACCACCCTGTCCCCGCCCCGCCCCACACGAGGGCGCGAGGTCCCGCCCAGGACGTCCCAGACTATGGATCTCAGGTCTCAGGCTTCTAGGCTGCCGCTGTAGATCCAGAGGATGCCAGTGAGGGGCGACTGTGGCCCCACTGGTGCGTGCCCAGCGGCTGCCACGACGCCCCCGCGTAGCCGGAGGACAGTGGATACAGGCCGAGACCCTCATGAGTCTCTTGCATGCTGTGACCCCCGGGCTACCTGGGCTTTAGCACTGGTGCCCCCAGGCCTGGGTACTAAACACCCGAGATTTGGTTGGAGCAGGTGCTGTCCTTGGTGGCAAAGAGGGTCAATGGGTGCTAGTGCGGTTTCTGCCCTGGAGGTCAGCGGCTCCCTAGTGGGGAGGTGTACTGCTGAGAAACAGGAGGCTGCCCTGAACTAGCTGAGGCGACGGGGGCGAGGACCCAGGCTGTCCTCCACCTAGAAGGTCAGTGGCTAGACCCTAGCATAGGCGGGGTCTTTGTGGGGGACATCTGCTGGAGGGCTGTTGGCAGGAGACAGAGAAGAAGAGACAGGACGGGGTGGGAGGTGTCGTCAGGAAGGGAGCCAGCAGCTGAAATGGGGACCTACAGAGGCAGGGACTCAGTGGACAGCCGTTGTTCAGAGACCTGGGCAAGGATGGGCATTCTCCAAGTTGTTTCATCTCTCTGTCCCCTGAGGTAGAGTTGCCACCAAAGCAGCCACAGGGAAGTTCCACAAGAGGGTGCCCAGGCCCTCTGAGGTTCGGTCACCTGGAAGATATCTCAGAGAATTAGTCATCACCTAGGGATCCTAAATACTAGCAATGAAGCGACCCACTATAGACCGTTTATCCCAGAACTGAACTAAAAAAAAGAAAAAAGAAAAAGACACTTAAACAAAATGCAACCCCAGATGTCAATTTCACCAAGGGCAAATCCAGGGGGCAAAGAGGTGGGCATTCTGAAAGCCCCCCTCCTCAAGTGACAACAACAAAGCAATTGAATGAGGCTCTAAAAATTAAATAAAAAATAATCTCTACAATAAACACCATGCTTAGTGATGCTAGGGAAGATACAGACAGATTATAGACAAGCTTAAGAAAATTATGGAAGCTCAGTGCAGAAAGAAATGGAATCCATAAAGCAGATTCAATAAAAATTCTATTGAAAGTATTTGCAGATTAGGCCAATGTGAGGACAGGATCTCAGATATTGAAGACAGGACTGCAGTTAGTGATCAGGAAAAGAACAATTTCTTTAAAGCAGTAAGAGATCACCTGGGCATAGTGACACATAACTGTAATCCCAGCACTTGGGAGGCTGAAGCAGGAGGATCATTGAGAGTTTGAGACCAGCCTGGGGTACAAAGTGAGCTCAATCCAGCCTGAACTGCACAGTGAGACCCTGTCTCAAAAACAAAACAAAGGGGCTGGGATTTAGCTCAGCAGCATAAGTGCCTGCCTTGCAAGCACACAGTCGTGAGTTCGATCCCTGGTACCAAAAAAAAAAAAAAAAAAAAAAAGTTGTAAGTATTGTGATGAAAAACAAAATAAAACAAGAAAAAGCAAGCGATCATGAGAAATCATTGCAGCAGCTGCTAGATGAGACAAAGAAGAATAAGCTTGATCGGAGTCAATGAAAAAGCAAGAGATACCACAAATGGTTTTAAAAAACATTCAGAGCCATCATAGTAGAAAACTTTCCTGGTGGAGCAAAAGAACTTTACATACAGGCAGGCTTTTTTTTCCCCTGGGGATTGAACTCACAACCTCATGCTTACCTGGCAAGTGTTGTGCCACTGAGCTATATCCCCAGCCATTGACATACATATAAGCAAGGCATATAGACCTCCAATTAGTCATGATCAAAAAATTTCTACATCCAGGCATATCATAGTCAACTTCAACACAAGAATAAAATAATAAAAGCTGTTAGGGAAAAAATCAAATCATTTATAAAGGAAAGCCCATCAGAATTACAAGTGACTTCTCAGTACAAACTTTCAAATCAAGGAGACTTGGAGTGAAATACTGCAAGTTCTAAAGGAAAATAACTTTTCACCCAGATTGATGTACCTCGCAAAACTATCAAAACTAATGAAAAAATAACATACTTTCATGAAAAAAGTATCTGAGGAATTTATAACCACCAAACCAGCACTCCAAAATATTCTGAAGGACATTCTAGACAGAAGTAATAAGGATTACAGCTCCATGAACCCCAACAGAATTAATCTACCAGGAAAAGCAAATAATTGGAGGGGGAGCCAACAACAGGAAAATAGGACATGACAAGGATAGGTCAGTATATATCAGTTATAACCATCAATGTTAATGGTCTCATCAAAATTTACATACCAGTAGAATGGATAAAGAAGCAGTACCCAACAATATGCTGCCTACAAGAAACACATTTAATTCAAAAAGAAATTTATAGACTGAAAATTAAGGATGGAAAATAATACTTCATCTGACAAGAACCCAGAAAAAGGCAGATGTAGCTATTCTATTTGCAGACAAAATGAATTTCAAGCCAACATTGATTAAGAGACATATAGAAGGTTACTACATCCTAGTAAAGGAAACAGTTCAGAAGGAAGAGATAAGGATCATAAATATATATGCAACAAAGTACAGTGCATATAACCATATAAAGCAAATACTAATAGACATGAAAAATCAAATGTAGTAGTACAAATGTATTGGGGGATCTCAATACCCCAACTATCATAAAAAGACAGATCAACTAGATAAAATCAACAATGAAATATTAGAATTGAACCAAAATTTTGAACAAATGGACTTAGTAGATGTCTATAGAGTGTCCCACCATACAACATCAGAATATACATTCTTCTCAGCTGCACATGGGATGTTCCCCAAAATAAACCACAATCTGCCTCATAGAACATGCTTAAATAAATGCAAAGGAATTGAAATTATCTCATGCATACTACCAGACCACAGTACAACGAAACTGGAAATCCATGGCAAAAGAAATCACAAGAACTTTATAAACACATGGAAATAGTAGCACCCTGCTGAACAACCAATGGGTCACAGATGAAATTAAAGAAAAAATTAGTTTTTATAGTTGAATGATAATGACAATACTACCTACCAGAACATATGGGACACAATAAAAGCAGTCTTAGGAGGAAAATGTATAAGTAAATACCCATTATCTGGAAAACAGAGCAAGCACATATAAACAGTTTATGATGAACCTCAAACGTCTAGAAAACGAAAAGCAGGGGGCTGGAGGTTTAGCTCAGCGACATAAGCGCCTGCCTTGCAAGCAGGCAGTTGTGAGTTCAATCCCCGGTACCGATAAAAAGGAAAAAGACCAAAAAAAAAAAAAAAAAAAAAAAGAAAGAAAGAAAGAAAGAAAACGAAAAGCAGGTCAAGCCAAAATCTCATATGAGGGAAGAAATTATAGATCAGAGTAGAAATTAACACATTGGAAACTAAAATAACAATACAAAGAAGCAATGAATTGAAGAGTTGGTTCTTTGAAACATTAAATAAAACTGACAAATCTTTAGCCAACCTTATCAAAAAAGAAAGAAAAGAATCAAATCCATGTGATTAGGAATGTAAAGGGCAAAATTTCAACAGATCCTGAAGAAATCCATATCTTCTATATCTACTTTGAAAACTTATATTTTGGGGCTGGGGATTTAGCTCAGCGCCATAGGCACCTTGGCTTGCAAGTGTGTGGTCATGAGTTCCATCCCCGGTACCAATAAAAAAGAAAAAGACCAAAAAAAGAGAAAGAATATCTGAAAACTTATATTCTAATAAGATGGAAAATGCAGAAGAAATAGACAGATTCCTAGATATATATGAATTACCAATGCTGAAATAAGAAGCTATAAAAATTCTAAATAAACTAGTATCAATCAATAAAATTAAAGATGTAACTAAAAAAACCTACCAAGAAAGAAAAGCCCAGGCCCTGATGGAGTCACTGCTGAATTTTACAAGAAATTTAGTGAACATAAGTGAAATAAATCAATCTCGCATGTGTGAATACCGAATAGTTTCCCTAATGTAAGTAATGATTCAAATATATAAAAATATGTGGTAATCATGATTCCCCATTATGTGGCCTTGAAGCCTTATAAAGTTTTCACTTATTAATTGGAAAGTCTTTATTCTGGGCTTCTTGATATGGAAATATTTGAAGCTATAGTATATGAAGTTTTATTCAAATATTTCAAGGAAAAAAGACAGACACTATGGTAACTACTATTAAGTCGGGTTATTTGGTGGTGAAGCACTAGGTTGCTGAAACAGTCATGCTTTGACCCGTATTGTTATATTGTTATGTCCTGTTTTATCTCAATCTCTCCTTTATTCTTTAAAAAAAATTATTTAGTTATTTCTTATGTTAGTTTTAATTAAGGGGAAAAATTTTAAAAATTAGCAGGAGGTATAATAGTAACTTTTTTTGATTTCCTATTAACTTGTTTTGAAGTCCTGTAATACTCCCATGATCTGGTTTTGACTGATTAGACTCTGTTCCAGTCTGTATGATAGTATCAAGTTTGAGGGTATAGGCAACTACTTTGAAGGCAATAAGATTCACTAAGATGCCCATGCTGGTTTGACTATTGTCTCCTTTGGACGTCCTGTAATGTTTACAATGCCTAAGTTTTATTGGTCTTGTTCTCTACTGTTTTGTTCAACTTTATAATATCTAATGAGATAGACAATTCTTTTTAAGGAAACAAGAGACATTGTTGATAACCATTGTTGATAACCTTGTACTCTG